CCATATTTCAACGAAACTCGATGAAGATGAGTGGGATCAGTTTTACTGTATCTCACTCTTAAACTCTAAACGATATGTTTAAAAAACCGGTCTTTAGTCTCTCTGGATGCAGAACGGTAACTTGGAACTGTCATGAAGATGAGTGGGATCAGTTTTACTGTATCTCACTCTTAAACTCTAAACGATATGTTTAAAAAACCGCTCTTTAGTCTCTCTGGGTGCAGAACGGTAACTTGGAACTGTCATGAAGATGAGTGGGATCAGTTTTACTGTATCTCACTCTTAAACTCTAAACGATATGTTTAAAAAACCGCTCTTTAGTCTCTCTGGATGCAGAACGGTAACTTGGAACTGCCGCTTGTTATATCTTGATTTCTCGTAATCTTATTATTATTCACTAAGGTTTACTAACTTACTATGCTCGTGGTAGACTACGTTGTCAAATAACGGTTATATTACATTTTTGACAGTATTTTACTGTAGCTAATTTTGTAGATTGGCGCCGCTGTTCTTTTGATATTGTCTGACTTGAAAAGTTTGACTTTTTATATGTAATAACTGACCAATTATGAAGACATTTTTAGTTCGAGATATATTGAACATACGGATATATATATATGTGTGTTTATCTGTTTCATTTATTCTATTATTGCTTACATTTATTTACAAGTATTATTTACTTTGGATGAAAAATGTGAACGTTATCTTGAAACCTGTATTTTCATTTATAAAACATTTGTATTCAAAGGAAGCGGTAGATTTGTAGCCAAAGCAAAACTACGTAGTTTGCTCATTGTGCATAAGGTATGCATCCTTGTAGAATTAAAAATGGCAAACGTTTTGATTTATACTGAGCATTATGCACTCCTAGAACAGACGTACAAAATGTCATTCACTAACTTTGCTCAGTTTTGATTCTAGCCAGCTGAAGTTTTCAATATAATTAAAAAAAAATATCTCAATTATTCCAATCTTTGTTCAGCAATAAAAAATATTAAACATGGTGCAAGTATTCTTTCCTTAGAACTATGAATGTGAAGAGGAAGGTTTAGTGTACACACTTTCTTTTGTCAAAAGTGTAAGACTTGCTTTGAAGTTACATTTCAAATAACCTGTATTTCGTCATTATTAACCGTTAAGGGAAGCAACTCCAAAATATATTCGCATCCAGAACTCTGGACTGAGCGCTTGTAAGGCGAACACCTAGCGACAACTGCCAGCTGATCCTCACTTTCTCTCTCGCAAATTTTACTATGTATACTAATCCTTGCGCTAATTACATGAAACAGTGAATTTGATCTCCGTCTATTTAGCTGAGGCAGTTACATCTTTTTTTAGTTGTAAATAAAATACTTATTTTCGAAAGCATGCCTCATTTGGGGCAAATTAGAAAAAAATATCGATTAATAATGAAAAAAATAAATCTTCTTCCCTTTGTTTTCTACTGTTGTTCCCAGAATTTGTTTCGTAATACTCATTTCAAAATGAAAGTGTTACTGCTGCTTCCGACTCTTTATCACATGTCATCCTTAAAGGTAACACTTCCACTCTCGTGCAGTTTACTGGATAACGTATGTAATATTAACTTTATCCTGATCTTCATATTACTTTTGTGTACGAGATGCTTCTTTATAAAGATTTAGTCAAACGTTAATGATTATCAAAAACGCTTGAGCGACAAAGTCAAAATTCTGCTTTAACTCAAACAGTAGGTGATATCTCACAAACAGAGCAAAATAAAGCAACTTGGCATTACATTTCTTTATTTTATTCATGTGTTGTAACTAATTCACCTACGAATCATCGAGATACGCTGAATAACATGTGATAAGGTGAATTAGGAACCAAACCTGAATGTAAATTCAGTTTTACACCATATAAATGATATGATGCAGCGTGAGTAATGCTAAGCGAGTCGATCGTTTCAGGATACAATCAATCCTGAAACGATCGACTCGCTCAGCATTACTCACGCTGTATCATATCATTTATATGGTGTAAAATACAATCCAATCTTTTCCGTTTGTGAAGAAAGTCATTACGTCTTTATCTTGAGATTATCATCATTTCTGTGTTAAGAAAGTCATTACGTCTTGACAATAACTGTCAATGCGGAACTCATCGCCAAATGTTTGACTCTTACCTTTGTGAATTTATATGGAGAAATTGAAACAAAGATGAAGATTTATTCAACAAATATTGTTTAACATCGCAGAATTCGCTAAATAAGTATAATATAATGTTTTAATATTAATTATCTTATTTTATTGCATTACTGGAGTTATTTTCAAAACGAGCTGTTGGTGCGCACCAAACGGAAAATACCCGAACCATGGTTCCTAGTGCTGTTTGCTTAGTTATTCTACAACAGCTACACTTGTACTTT